TATCTGCAAAAGAGGATAGGCAGAGTGTTGTTCTAAGGGTCAAGTGAGAGCAGACAGAAAAAATAGAAGCAGTGCTGACACCAGGTAAACTCTCAGTACTCACAGACTCTGATACTACAGTTGGGGCTGTGAGTGGGGCTGCCAAGGTATGCAGTGTACAGATGTAGCAAAGGCCTTGACTTATTAGTGATGATAGATTGTGCAGAGCATGTACTTAGTCACATTCTCTTGGCTCAGTCCCCATACCATCTATATCTAATGTGAATATTCATATGCATAACCCAGGGACCAGATGGTCTAGGGTGGGGTTGAGGTTCTGCATTTCTAAATGACTTCCATAGGATGCTGAGGACAACCACCCATGTGTGGATCACACCATGAATAACAAATAGCTGCTTGAGAGTTGGAGGTAACATTAGAGCAATGCAGTAGAGTCAAGATGCCTGACCACTGATGGCTCACCTATTCTGTGAATTGTTGAGGTAAAGGTCTATCTGAATGAATAGTGAAACTTAAAAAATAAAGCATGTAATCTCAGTACTAAGAGGGCTAAGGCAAAAGAATCTTGAGTTTCAGAGCAGCCAGGGCTCCTAGCAAGACCCTGCCTTAATGCAAAGGGAAGGGGGCTCAGAAAGCAAGACAGAAGGGAATTATTTCTAAAGTCAAATAGTAAACAAAGTGTTAACAAAATTTTACCAACCAGGGGTTGTTCCTATTGAATCTACTTGAATAAATACATTTAAATCATTTGGAATTAACCAATTGCTCTTCAAATGAAGGTTGTCAAAGTGCTTGGAAGAGAATTTTTTTAAAAGAGTGCTTAACACCTCTCCACCTGTCTCTTACTTGTATGTTAACTTTGCTCAGCAAATCTAGAGGCAAAGACAATGGCATTTCTGTGAATTGAACTGGTCATGCACGAACAGATTCATCATTCCATCCAACAGTGTCTGAGTAGCTCATGTTAAACATCTCTGGTTCTGAGGATCGAGAAGGAAGACTCTGGATGTATATTCTCAGAGACTAAGGGTTTAATGGTTGAGACAGATGACTGAATTCCCATCATCCATGATAGAGGCAATCATGGCCACTGAAGAACGCAGAGGAAGGATACATCTCTCTCTGGAGTAGGAGAAGGAAAAATCTGAAAAGGCATCCTGGAAGAGGTGATTTCAATATTTTCCTACCTCTTTGGGCTGATTATTCTTTAAGTTCATTAAATGGGGTCTAGGCAGATGAGTAGCCTGCAGCCAGCAAAGTAAACTCCTGCTGTCCTGGAGAGATGCCTGAGGTATCTTCAATGCCTTGGCACCTGTGCTCCACCCATAGCAGGCAGAGGCAGTGGTCCTGAGCAGAAGACCTCAGGAATTCACCGACATATGCTCACAGAAGCACAAGCATCTTGTCAGCATCCTCTAGCAGGTGAGTGTAAATAATTTGTCGGTTCTGCTCCAGAGGAGCCAAGGAGTCCGAGTTTCCTGCAGACAGAGGTAGGGAAGGTTGCCTAGGGCTCCAGCTCACAATATGGAAAGTCTTTCTTGAGAGACACAAAACCACTATGATGAAAGAGTCCAATGCAGAGAATCCCCTTCCCAAGGAGACCTCTATCTCCAATAAACAAGGCCCTCCAAAAAGAGAGGTCAAACAGGTCTTTGAAAACTTTCAAAACAGAATAAAGATTCACTGTTAGAAAGCTTTCAGTAAGCCCTGAGCAGCCTTCAACAAGGCACCAGATGTCCTGTATAGCAAGATCCACAGCCAGATTACAGGAAGCTCCGCAGCACAGAGATCTCTGAATGCATCCTTTAACAAAAGGTTTCCCAAATATAATTGACAGTAGAACCATTCTTTTAATAGTTGAAGATTTACTAGTATTCATAGCTTGTATTCCACGGCACTTTCTCTAGGAGTACTGCTCTAGCTACCACTGTCAGCCATAGCTCCCAGAGAAACAACAAGCAGGAATTGGTTCATGTGACTAGAAATTTATTTACAAGGCAGAAGTTGGTGAAATGGCTCAGTGTGTCAAGTATTTGCTCTGCAAGCATAAGGATTTGAGTTTAGATCCCTAGCACTTCATAGATCAAGTGTATTGGTGCATGCCTCTAATCTCAGAACTCAGGTGGTAGAGGCAGAAGGATCAGAAGCTCAAAGGCATCCTCAATACATAGCAAGTATGAGGCCAGCCTTAGATACATAAGACCCTGTCTATGAATAAATGAATGAATGAATGAATGGTTATTGTAAGAGACAGCAATATAGAAGAACAAATAGTATTCTAACAGCTTTTACTTCCATTGTTTATAATTCTTTTTAAAATTATTTATTGTTATTAGTATGTGTATGTATAATATGCATATGTGAATATGGACATGTGTGTGCACCAGTGCATGGAGGTCAGAGGACAACTTTGGAGGTTCTTTCCTTCTACTATGGGATCTGGGGATTGGACTCAGATCTTGAGATTTATAAGGTAAGCACTTTTACCCACTGACGCATCTATCTGGTCCATTTATAAGGTTTTATGTTTTATAGTACTGTGATGAGTAATCCTAACTGCTGATTTGACTGGATTTAGAATCATCATGGAAACAGACCTCTGGCTATATCTGTAAGGGTGCTTCCAGATAGATTTAGCTAAAAAGAGAAGACCCACCCTGAATGTGGGTAGCCCCATCCCTCAGATGGGAGTTCCACACTGAATATAAGGAGAAAGTGAGCTGCACACCCGCATTCCTCTCTCTCTGCTTCCTGACTGCAGACACAACATGACCAACTGCCTCATGTTCCTGCCACCATGCCTTCCCTCTGCGATAGACTATATTTCCTTGAAATAAACCCTTCCTTTCTTAAGTTGCTTTTGTGATGATTGATCACATCAAACAGAATAGTAACTAATGCAGGTAGCTACTTCTTTTCCAATAAAATATTGTGTGCAGCCTTCATATGTGAAGAGACTCAAGGGAAGTTTCTTCACCTGAAGTCAGAGGGATAGGCCTGAACCTCCTCAAACTTATCCCTACCCTCTGGTTAAAGTGACTTTGAGAAAAAAGTAGGAGTTCTCATTCAGTACAGATGCTTATTTTACAAAGAGAATACTAAAAAGCCCAAGGGTTAATGGTTTATTTTATGTAAATAGTTTTCAAAGTATGGTCCCAGGACCCAGCAAATCAATACTATCTGGAGACTTGTTAGAATGCAAATTCTTGGGGGCTAGAGAGGTGGTTCAGCCATGAAGAGCCCTGGCTGCTCTTCCAGAGGATTCTGGTTTGGTTCCCAGCATGCACATGTCAGCACAACCAGCTGTAACTCCAGACCCAGGGGATCAGATGTCCTCTTCTGACCTTCTATGGCACAGCATTCATGTAGTGCATAGGTATACATACAGGCAAAACACCCATATACATGAAAGAAAAGTAAAAATTAATTTTAAAAAAGGAAATGCAAATTATCTGACCAAACCCTAAAGCCACTGAATCAAAAATTGTAGGTGTGGGATCACCTCTCAGGGGATTCTAATACAGGCTAAATTTTGAGAACCTTACTGCGTGTCACGGTGAAGTAAGTACCAAAGGATACTTAGAATTGACCAGATTTGCTTTTGGAATCTGATCACCTTAGTTTTATGACCTTAAGTAGGTAACATAACATCCCCCATGGTCTTAGTTTCCTGATTTGGAGAGAGAGGAGAGCAGTAACTGCCTCTGTACCTTTCCTAGTCCCCCTTACACCCTACTCGGGGTGATGAAAAGGGGCCAAGAAAGCCCTGGCCTGATCTGTTGACTCTGAATCCATGCAAGACCCAGTACCTACCATTTCCTGAGCCTGTGGTTCTGAGGGCCTCCTTGACTAACTTAAAGACAGCAGGAGAGACATCAGAACACACAGCCTCTAAGACTTAATTTATACTGCCTGGCTGGACCTAAGCTTCCCTCCGAGACGCCTCCAACATTGCTGGCATGCAGACTTCATTTCACCAGTGTGTCCTTCCAGTCCTCATGCTTCTGTCTGCAGCAGCAGCCCAAAGCTCCCTGTCCCCCAACCCTCAGGCTCCTCCCTGGAGCTTCCTCCAAGATAAAACAAGCCAAACACAGCTGCTTCCACCTCTAATTACTGTTTTCTTCATTTGCTTGCTTTTCCTTCTTTCTGACTCTAATGTCAATACCAGAAGGAGGAGGTTGTCAGGGTAACACAGAGTGGGGTCTGGAACAGAGTGGAGGCGGGAAGTCCATCCTTGACCGAACCTTAACCCTGTTTAGTTGAACACCCACTGGGTTCTCGGCTGCCTCTGTATCCTGGTAGCAAGAATGTGAGCATTTGACATTTCTAGTTTATTTTCCCTATCCTCCCCCTCTGATAACATCTCCCACCTTCTCTCCACTCTCCCGCTTCTATCTGCAAAGTCGGCCTGACCTGTGTACATCTGCCTGAATTTGCTTGCTTAATTCTTCTGTTGGCTAAGTCTGATACTTTTTCTCCCTGATTTAATCGAGGCTCCCCCAGTGGCCAGACTCTATAACAATTACCTACAAAACATTACCACTGGGGAGAAGGAAGAGGGATAGATGTTTATTTACAATCTTGAAATTGGGAAGCTTTTTTCACCACCTAACTTCCAGTCTTTATTGTGCTCTGACGCTATCTGACAGAAGCAGCAGTGTTTACTGAGAGGATCAGTATCCTCTATTCCTCCCTTGGTTGAGGAATAGTCCTTCCCTCCAAACCATGACCCTTCTCAGGTCATCTCAGTGGACTAATTTGTCTCTGGTTTACAAAGAAAAACAAATGATGTGCAAAAATCAGTCACTCAGTACATGCTTCTCTCCAGGAAAATAACAAACTCACAGTAGGCAGTACCTGACCCTTAACATATCTACAGCCTAATGCCCTAACCCCTAGAATGTGTGTTAATATAATTGGCAAAAGGCTCTAAAGTTGCTAACCAGCTGACTTTAAAATAAGGAGATAAGAATATTCGGGTGTGGGCCATATGTACTCACAAGGGTCCTTAACAGGAAAGAGGGTGACAGTAGAGTTGGCATCACAGGGATGACATGTGAGAAAGACTGGTCATTGGTCACTTTGAAGATAACATCCCAAAGGAGTATGACAGCCACTGGAAAAGACAAGAAAACCAATGGGACACAGCTCTGTTGACAATTTGCTTTGAGTCCACTGACTCATGCTTACTTCTAATATCCAGGGCTTTAAGAAAACTAACATGGAGCTGAGGATGATGGTACATGCCTATAGTCCCAGTACTCAAGAGGGTGGATGCAGAAAAATCATCAAGGTCATTCTCAGCTACAGAGTGGTGAGTTACAAATCAGCTTGGACTGTATGAGACTCTGTCTCAAACAAACAAAATTAACGTAATGTTTTAGACCACTAAATGTGGGGTTATTATAACAGCAACAGTGCCCACCGGGCAAGTCAGAAAGGCAAGGAAGCTAGCTCTCTGTGTGGCAGGTAAGCAGAAGTGGGAAATGATGATGGTGAGTGGTGTCTCAGCTTCCCCTCCCACCTTCCATGCTCTCATCCCTGGATTCAGAGCTTTCGTTTACTTTGAAAGCTGCCTTACAATCACACTCCTGACAACTCTCTTCATCACGCTGGATTCTAAATTGCACTTGAAGTAGCTTGTGCAGTGCCAGCCTTCTGATTAGTTCACTTCTGAGCTACAAAATGAGGGTAATCAGAGAGAGGAAAGAGCTGACCGCGTTGCTCTAGAGGGAGGAGAGGGCAGGGGATCTCTCCAGTGCAATTTTCTAATAAGACTGTAAGAGCTAAAAAGCGGGCTGTTGTTACCCTGCAGGTCCATGGTCATTCCCTGCCCCACTGCTTCATCAACACAGCATCTGACAGTGCTGCCTTGAGCAAAACCCCCAGCCTACCTCTCTTCCCATATAAGCCTTGCTCTTTGAGATTAGGAAGACCTTCTAACATGACTTTCAGTCATATCTGGCCAGCACCTATAAAGCAAGTTGGTTTGGCTTCATCTCCCTCATCCCATACCTTGTGACAGCTCAAAGCCCCTCTAAGATTTCTAAGGATTTCTGATGTGGGAATGAGTGGCTGGCTTTCCTATGGTCACATCCACCTAGACTGAGAATTACAGGGAAGCTAATAAATCTTAAACTTGGGGGCCCACTCATGTGTGATACACTCCAGCAAAATACTTATGGGATCATGTTTTTGTAAATTTTGCCTTTTTAAAAGTTTAGTTTTGAGAGTCTCAAGTAGCGCAGACTAGCTCCTGAGGATGATCTTGAACTTCTCATTCTCAAGCCTCCACCTCTACAATGCCCCAGTGCTGGGATTACAGGTGTGCACCACCACACCTGCTTTACAAGATTCTGGTAATGGCACCCAGGGCCTCCTGCATTCAGGGAGGCCCTATATCAACAGTCATATCCCAAGCTTCAGTTTGAATTCTATTCAGCTTTATATTCTATTCCTTTCAAGGGATCTCACCAAAGCATGACCTGCACTTGGCACCCATAAGCTTTTGCTTTCCTCCTTTTAAGAGCACAGCAGTTTCCTTCATCCATTGCCACTGGGTGCTACTTCCATGTTGGGACTTGAACTCAGGATCTTATGAATGCTAGCCACACATGCCAGCACTAAGTATTCCCAACCCTGCCTCTGTGTTCTTGTCTGGTCACTACTGCCCTTACAAAGTTAATTGGGGTATTTTCCTAGGCCAGGTTTTCTAAGAGGGTTTCAGGTAACTGCTGCTGAGAGAGTAGACATTTGCAATAGATAACTTGCTTTTCCAGGAGCAGTAGATCTTTGTTCACTAATCCATGGGCCTGGCATAACATAGTACTTGAGTGTGGGGAGTGGGAGGGGACACAGAGGAGGCTGGGAAAGGGACTTTGGGTGAGCATTTTGGTAATGAGAGTGTGTTGAGATGGTGGCCTTTGGTCATCTTTACTGTCCTTTGGAAAGTCCCAGAGCTCCTAGTGAGCTGAATGACAGTAGGAGGAAGGGCACACTCACACTTTTGAGCCTAATTAGATTCCAGCAGCTACCCAAAGGCTCCTGTGATGTTTCACTGAACACTTTTTTCTCATGCCTCTGTCTCTGCTTCTCTTCTCTACTACCCTAAGTTCCAGGACAAGAGGTTTTTCATTTCTGTCCCTCTGTTCTCAGTGTAGGGCCTGGGATACAGACTTCTCTTCACAAGTAAGAGTGTTTTACTGCAATCCCTGTTGGAGCTATGGTAGGATTGGCCTAGTAGAGGGAGAGAACTAGGGGTAGAGACAAAAATAGCAGAGCAGCTAGAAGAGATGTCAGGGGGCCCAGAAGGCAGGGAGAGTAGGAGAAACAGGTTAGGTTTGTGTCTTACTCTCAACATTCTTAAGTCCTAAGGGCAAGAAGGGATTGGGAGAGTGCTGATTATTAACAGTTGTCAGTTTGACAGGATCTAGAACCGCCAGGAAACAAACCTCTGGGTGTCTGCGAGGAGTTTTCTAGATTGAGTTCATTGAGGTGGGACGACCTCCCCTAAATATGAGCAGCACTATCCCATGCCTGAGATCCCACACCGTATGAAAAAAGAGAAAGGGTGCAAAACAGCGGCATTCATCTCTGCTTCCTGACTGTAGATGCAGTGTGAGCATCTGCCTCATGCCTTCCTCACTTCAAAAACTACGGAAAAAGAAAGGTTACAAGACAAAACCTGTAGAAGGAATCTTAGAGAGTCTTATTAATAAAATCAAACCTGAGGCCAGTTATTGGGGTGAATGTTGGAAGATCAGAGAGACAGAACAAGCCACAGCCACCTCACCCGGCCAACTTCTCAGCTGATCTTGTTTCCTCAGACTGGAAGCCTCTGAATCCTCATCCAGAATGAATCTCAGCTGAACTGCTGCTCAAAGCCTAAAAACTTAACCACCCAAATGCTTCTAGTTCCTGGTCTTCACGCCTTATATACCTTTCTGCTATCTGCTATCACTCCCTGAGATTAAAGGCCCACTTCTTGGGATTAAAGGCATGTGTCACCATGCCTGGCTATTTCCAGTGTAGCCTTGAACTCACAGAGATCCATGCCTCCAGAAGGCTTGGATTAAAGGTGTGAGTGCCACCATTTTCTAGCCTCTGTATCTAGTGGCTGTTTCATTTTCTGACCCCAGATAAGTTTATTAGGGTGCACAATATTTTGGGGAACACAATACCACCACAAAAAACCCTGACAGGGTTCTCTCAGAACAAGATCTCTCTCCAGGGTCGAATATGGGCATGCTCAGGGACGTAAGGGATAGGAAGAAGATAAGAAATGGGCAACTGCAGACTCAAGTCTCCAAGCCAGAGGAAGAAGAGAGATTTAAAGGATTGTAACAAAGCTGTGGTGTGTCTCAGTGATGGAGTGCTTGTCTGGCATGCAGATGTTCTGGGCTCAGACCCCGAATCCAAGGCCCCAGGGGGTACAGCACTAAAGGATTGGAAAGAACAAGGGCCACTCTGCTTCTTTCATAGGAAGGACGGGAAACCAGGGTTCCATGAAACCCTGCCATGGGGCAGGTTATAGTCAAATGAAGGTTAAGTCAAGTGTTGGAAATAAGTGAAGGTTGTCTTACTCTCCTCTGTAGCATGAATCTTAAAAGTTCTTATTAATAAAATCAAACCTGAAGCCAGTTATTGGGGTGAACACTGGATGATCAGAGAGACAGAACAAGCCACAGCTATCTCACTTTGCCAATTCCTCAGTTGGTCCTGTTTCCTCAGACTGGAAGCTTCTGTGTCCTCATCCAGAATGGGTCTCAGCTGAACTGCTGCTAGAAGCCTGAATACTTAACCAGCCAAATGCTTAACCAGGCCAAGTGCTTAACCAGCCAAATGCTTCCAATTTCTGGTCCTCACGCCTTATAAACCTTTCTGCTTTCTACCACCACTCCCTGGGATTAAAGGCTGCTTTCTGGGATTAAAGGCATGAGTCACCATGCCTGGCTGTTTCCAATGCGGCCTTGAACTCACAGAGATCCAGAGGGATTTCTGTCTCTGGAATGCTAGGATTAAAGGCGTGTGCTAACATTTTCTAGCCCAAGTATCTTGTGGCTTTTCTGTTCTCTGACCCCAGATAAGTTTATTAAGGTACACAATATTTTAGAGAACACAATACCACCACACTTCTCTCCACACATTTACTCTCTCTCAGACTCCCAAAGACCACATAGGATCTGCCCCACCTTGTTTTCCCCACTTTTCCCTCCCTCCTCCACTCCCTTCACCTCCTTTGCCAATTTTCTTTCCTCTTCCACTGGCTCTTTACTTCACCCTATAGATCAACTCGGAGACTCTGACTTCCTTAGTTTTATGTTATCTGGTCATCCATTCGTCCAAATCTAATTTTAGCCCTTCCTGTGTACCGTTTTTCTGGGTTTTTCATAGCAAATACATCTGGTCTCACAAACCCAAATGTTACCTCTTAGAAGGAATAGGATTTCAATTTTTGTGATTTAACATCTTTTCTTTAAAAATTTCTTGTCAGAGAACAAGAAAAAAATGACTTAAAAGATAGCAACACTGTACAGTAGTGACAAGAAACAGGCAGAGAAGACAGGAGCCAAAGACAACACAGTCCGTTACGCCAATGTCTTACACCCCTTACCCTTATGGTACCTGGTGGTTTAACCGCCTTCACGTCACCCATTTACCTCTGAGTAACTCTTCCCCTCCTCTTGCAAGTAACACTCTCCTATGGCTCTGTAAGTTGACCCTCACCCATATCCCTATAAGTAACTCCAGTAAACTCATTGGATCACCAAGCTGGATTTGCTGGAATAGCTTCTTTGGTCCGTTGTCAGTGTCCTATTTGTGTGCACCTTATCAGAAAAGCTCCCTATGTAACTCAGCTCTGAAAGTTAAGATTTCCAGGCATACTTGATTGTTGTTCACATTGGTCTTTGACTTTAGAATCTCTTATACTGTTCTGCTCAAAGCACAAGGCCAGCTGGCCTCCTGTGGAAACCTAGATTTTAGCTGCAGGAAAGGAGGACTTTTAAAAAAATATAGATTAAAAATTTTTAATTAAAAAAGGGTGTGTGTGTGTGTTTGTGCAGGCATGTACATGCCTCGGCACACATCTGGATATCAGAAGACAATTTACCGGAG